GCTTCTTAGAAGCAAGGATTAAAGAGGGCATCAGACAACTTTTAAAAAAATATTTCCCGTGGATTTTTATCTTTAACTGAAAATACTACAACACTTTTCCTTACTACAAAAAGATAAAAATAAAAATCAACAACCAAACTATCAGTTTAGGCCTTTGAAGTAAAAGCAATTTTTAATAAGTTCTGCAAAACTGTCCAAAGGTTAAATTTTAAGAAAGATATGTGAATAAAAATCAAAAAACAACACACTTCATATTGCACTGAAGAGTTAGTTCATCAAAATTCAGCTGTAGGCAGAGTAAGCATATGTTGGATCAGTTCAGACTTCCTGAAATGCCATTTAAAAGCAGTGAATTTCAGGTATGCCACATTCACTAAAAAGGAAGTGAGACTAATGGAACAGGATTCACTACAATGAACTCCATAATACAAAACTGTATTTAAAATCAGTGCAAGTAATTCTTGTTTTATGTAAACCATTCTACTGCAAAATTAGCTTGTACAGCATGCAGAGCGCTGCTAAAGCAGCGTGAACACCTGCCTTGTGAAAAACACACCCTGGCAAGCAGGAGGCAACCCAGCAAAGGACACATTACCAATGTGCAGAGAGTAAAGTTCCAAAGGACCTACTGCTTTGCCCTCACCATCCCTTCCCAAAACAACTCAGAAGGACATGTACCAAATCAGAATACAAACTGCTTCACTGCATAGCCACTGCAACCTTTAATAAGACATTGTACAGCAGCAAAATAAACCTCTTGTGCTGTTCCTTGGAGAAAGGAAAACCCTTCTACAGTCTTAATGAAATCTAATCTATAAGCTCAAAACCATTCAGCAATTTCAAACCCTGCATAACATTTGCAGGAACACAACTGTGCTTCTGTGTTCCCAAGCTAAACAGGATTATTTCACTGCCTAAGTACACTGGCATCTTGGCTCTCAAGTCAATCCCTGTCTTGGCAGCAAGGGGCCAATTCCTAAACTGAACTCCAAGAGGGACAAGTCTGACAATACCAGAGTCATTGTAAAATTTCAAAGCAAACAGGGTCGCATTTTACATAAAGATTTACGTAACTTAAGTTGCAAAGCAGATCTGTCTGTTAATACATTAAGGAAGATGTAGGACAATACATAGCTGCAACACACTTTTACAGAAATTTTAATCCATTATCTCTTGTCTGCCACAAGTCATCTGAGGCCCCTCCTCTCTTTGTACATTACTTCCAAAGTTTATCTGCTCCAAATTAGCTTTTCTGTCCATATTAATGGCCTAGAAGGTGACACTGCTTCCATCCTCTGCCTCGTGTCTAAGTCAGACAGAGCAGGGACAGAAGCTCTTCCCACCAACACCTCACCTCAGATGGGGCAGACACCTGAAACTCCCCCATTTGTCCATGCAGGAGATGACCTCAGGTCAGGGCTCTGTGCAAGGAGAGCCTTAAACCACTGCACTGAACATGAAGTACCAGAAAGCAGAAGCTATACAATGCTGAGGTATGTGTATTAAAATACTGTCTTAAATGAAATATTCTTCTGAATTTTAAGTCAGATGATCAACTTTTTCATGCCTGGATTTGCATAATGAACCAAATTTAAACTCACATATCTATGGTGAAATTAATCAAATTATTACTAGCTGGCCTAAGAGCATCTAATCAATTTAATTTAGAAGTATTCTTAAAATGTTTGTGAACTTTGAGATTTCCCATCTCTTCAGTGTTCTCTAAAGGACTTGCATTTCATCTGCACTTTCCAACCCTGATAAAGCCTTTCTCTGATATAAGTCACCTGTGGCTACAACTTCAGCATATTAAAGCTCATTCATCATCACCTACACTTAATAAATCCACAGTGATGAAATAAACTCTGCTGACAAAAGGTTGATTAGATAAGCATTGCATGTAAGAAAGAAACTGTACATAAGAAATCCAGCAAAGTGAAAGAAAAACCCATACTGGCTCCACAAAGACAACAGGACCATGAGACTTGGATCCCACCTTTTCCTCACTACCAAGTGAAAAAAATCCTGGTATGAAACCAGCTGCTGTCAATTATTTTAAGAGCACAAAGCTTTATGTGGTTACAGAGAGGAAAGGCCAACAGAACATATTAATTAGTCCATTCATGAATAGCTTAGATACAGCATGTCCCTTCAGTGTCCAACTTGCCACACACACCCCTGATCTGCTGACTACCAAGGGCACAGCTCGAGTACCTTTTCCTGTTGTACAAATTAGACTCACTAAGTCATGGGCAGCTGCCAAGCAGAACAAGGCACCCTCATTCAGCCTGTCCAGAAAAAAAAAATCAGCACTGGGAATGCTGTGCATCTCTGCATTTTGGTTGAACTTCATGTTAAATATTATCCACTACACCTAAGAATGAATATTTCTGAAGTTTATGATTTCAGGAGTCTACATGGAAAAGATTTTATTGTACATTTGTTCTTTATTAGCAAAGCTATTTTTTAACTTAATGGACTCAGCTGCAGTATATATTTCAAGCCCTTTAAAACCTGCTGTTTGAGCATTCAAAGGGTGAAATGTTTTTCCATTTATCACCAGAAATTCTACGCATCAAGTACACAGTAATAACCACAAAAATAACAACGGCAACAGGCAAATAGAAATTTCCTTTATACAGCCCACAAATTTGATAAATACTTCTCAAGGTATTACAGTATAAAGGTTAAAGCCAAGGTTATGATCAAGCAGAACTGAAAAAGGAACAAATTCCTTCAGCTCAATCCTGCACCAAAAACTAAATTCAATTCCCAACTTATCCCATTATATTTTGTACACATTCACCCTTGCAATAATGCTGTAAGACCTAATGGAATCTGTCCACAAAGATATTACCTGTTATTGCAGTTAGTAATGCTGACAAAGAGGAGTATTAATGTAAGAAAATTCCAAAACACTCTTCATGTTGGGTGTCATTGACTGTAAACCTCATCCACTCAAGCATCAGGGCACAACCTGACCCAGCCCAGTGATGAAGACCATGAAAAGTTGACTGCTGTGCAACTAAAAGGTCCTTAACAGTGACCATCTGTACAAATTAAATGCTAGGCCCACAAAATAACTGCTGCCTATTTTACAGAAAGTGTTTTCTGAAAATGACCTCACTAAAATATAGTCAACATCTGTAAATAAGCTCCAGGAAAAATGTATGTATTATCAATAATTGTAGCATTACCATAAGAACACTTCAAGGTATATAGACTGATACTTGGAACATTTATACCTAAATTTCTTGTTTAATTAAAGAAAAAAAAAAAGATCAAGTTCCAATTTTATTAAACAGATAATATTAAAGAGATCTTATTTTAAAAATAATGAAATAATGAACAATATTGCATATTATCGTTGCTACTCAGCCAACTGCAGCTAAGACTTCACAGACTTTGTCCACAAGAGATTTCAACAGAACAGAGTAAATCAAATCAACACTCTCTCCTGGGTAAGTCAGCTGGATCAGGACAAGGATTTCTCCTGCTGCTTCATAAAGAATCCGGCATCTGGCCAGGAGATTGTTATAAAGAAATCCTCACACAGCCTTTCCTGAGCCGGGAAGAAGCCAAGGTAAAGATGACTACAAGCCAATATTATCTTTAAGCTGATTTTCTCTTGAGTGAAAGCAAGACAGGCTTTCAAATCAGGCAGTATTTGCAGATGCCAAACTAGAATGAGGACATTAAGCAATAGTGACTTTTTAAAAATTAGTTACTAAGCAGATCACAAAACCATATCTATAAAAATATCCAAAAGGCTCCAGGAAGAGGGAAGTCTAAAAACCATTTAACTTTTCTCTTAGATCTAGGTAAGAAGAAAGGCAAACCATGTGTAGGAACCCAAACTGGTTCCAACCTAGGAGTTGAAGCAATTACTAGTCTATTGTAATAAAAGGATTTTTCTTCAATTTAAGAAAAGAACAAAGAAAAAAATTTCACCGTGTAGCTTTAATGTTAGAAACATCAGAAAGCTTAGAAATCAAGGTGCCTGTGGTAAAAGCCATTCTTCTAACTTGAGCTCTTCCTTGCCAAGAAAAGCACTGAAGTTGTCCACAAAGGCACTGTTCTCCTAGATAATTATCATTAGAACAAAGCAGCAGCTCCAGAGTATCAAAGTTTATGGTTTAAAAGAAAGCACTCAAGACCACATTACTCATATTATACTTATACAAAAAAAAGAAGCACAAAGACTATCATGGAAAATCCTAAAATAACATGCTGCTTTAATTCACAACTGTTACTGGAAATCTGGCAAAAATAAAGGAAACACTGGGACTAATTACTCGAAAGGAATGAGCTGGCTGAGGAGCCTACAGCACTAAAAGTACAGCATTTTTATGGACTCCATCTGAAAAATAAGACATTGCATCACCTAATTGTGCTCTCTAAAAATGACCTCGTCTCCACAAAAGCAAATCCTTTAAGTACTTAGTTAGGTACAATTATATTCCATCATGGAGGTTCTTCCTTTCCTGTAATATTTTAGGAGTGTGGTTTAACTGCTTGATCCCAGAATACTGTTGTTTGTTCCAGCAGACAAGAACTGAAAACTTTCAGGAAAGCTTCTACTGTCTGCTACTATTTCCAATCCAAAATTGGACAAGGACTATAAAGTGTTAAGAACCTGACATACAGAATAATCTTCTGTAAGTAACAAGTTAACCCTGCTAAAGGTTCCCCATACGCACCACGTCAGGGGTTTTACAGTTAACAGCAAAAGCCTTTGGTAAACTGATCACTACAGACAAGAAGTGATTGTGGTTAATTACTTATGAAACCATATATTGCTCTGTCCTCCAGCTCTTTCCTTCAACAATGAGCTTTGTCCATGGTTCCCATGAAGGGCTCTACACTCACAGCTTTGCAGACCCAAATGAAACCGTTAGACAAATAGCACAGTTACTCCAAGTTGGAGAACAATAAAAAAAAATAATAATTCCCACATTAGCATTTTGGGCTTTTTTAGAAAACACACGTCAGTTACTCACAAAGAGTCTCTCCACATCATCTCTGATAAGCGGAAATATCTCCTCTGTTCTTCATGCACCTGTAGTCAAACAGAAAAGAACTGAAGCAGAGTCACAGACAGACATCCCCAAATAGCACCTGGCTCTCCGATCCCCTGGACTTTCACAACACAAACCAAGATTTGTTCCAAACATTCACACACTGTTTCTGTTTCCCTTTCTATCTATCTATCTATCTCTTTCCCCATTTCACTTACTTTCTCTGGTAAAATTACAGAGATGAAGGAGCACAAAAGCAAGAAAAGTGCTTCTTGTTTGCACGCATTAGGCTGCTCTTTGCTGTGGAAACAAGGATGAATTATGAAAACTAATCAAGTGAACACAGAGCACATGCCCTAGATTTTCCAAATAATCTCTTGGTTTAACCCAGTTGTTCCTGAGCCTGCCTATCCCATGAACAATTTACTAAAATGGAAGCTGTGACTCATTAAAGCCACCTTTTAAGAGAGAGGGAAACAGCTCAAATTATTTATAAGCAAGATGTAATCACATTAATTTGTATAGAAGAGGCCAAAATCTTAATGACTTCCATTTCTAAAATCCAATACAGTTGATAAACGAACTCCTAGTTCTTTTTTTTTTGCGTGTGTGTGTCTCAAGAGTATGGTATCTTACAGCCTTTAACCAAAATGAAAGACTGCAGACTATATTCTGGCTTATGAAATCATACCTCCACTTGAAGGGACAATGAAAAAGTTGGAACATTTCTATTTGCTGACATTTATTTATTGGCAAACATTGCAAACTATAAACTATGCAATACCACTGAAAAGAGCCACCCTTCAGATTTTTGGTCTTTTATATATTTTACATTTATAAGCATAACTGAATGACAAAAACTTAGTAGCTCTATGCCTTGGTTATTTCTTTAAAGCAATTTCTATTAATTCACAGCCCAAAGAAGAAATTCCTTTCTCTTAGTCAATACTTTTAAAATACTAAAGCAAATTTTTAGGTAAGGTCACAATGGCAGTTTATATATAACAGAAAATAAAAGTTTCTACAAATCATCCTCTCATCTTCAACTGCTCTGTACCATGACAAATAACATTTTGACTTCCGAGAGTAGGCACAAGCTCTCCTAATTTGAGAGCCTGTCTAAAATCTTATTTTGCTGAAGCAGACTTAGACATTTAGTGGAAGGAAATAGCACACAATATTTGTAAGCATGAATTATAAATTCAGTGTGTGCTTTGCAATACTTTAAACATGCCACAACTGAGACAGCATCAAACAGAATTGTTTAACAGCACAGAACTTGCCCACTCTCTCCCACTGATACTACAGCAGCTGGCAGAATAAAGTGGCTCTCAACTCTTGGTGTTGCTACACCTCAGGACATTGTCTTGTTTCAAATAAACTAGGTTTTCCTCTGTTAAAGAAGTCTGCTGAGTAAAAAAGATGGGTTTCATCCATCCTCCATCACAAAACTAGCATTCAGAAAGTGCCACATCACCTGAGCTGTTCTCATCACTGCTCCGCTATTTGTGAATCCCTATGTGCTGTGCAGTGTGGTTACAGCAATTAGGATGGGTGCCTAACTCTCAGTCCTTGTTTTGCCATTCTGTGGACATTACACAGGCTTCTCTAATGACCAATACATTACACAACAGTATGAAGGGATCAAAAAAATTCTATGTTAAAATAGAATTTTTCATACTCAGAAAAAATTTAGTTAACTTTCATCTCTAACAACAGAGCTTCTATCATCCTCAGTGTTGATTCTACATTCCCAGCATAGAAATATCAGAAATTCACACCTCTGCTTATAACTCTGCCACAGTAAGGATTAATCTGATAACCAGCACAAACTTGCATCCCCCTGCCAGGAGCTGAATTTCTCACTACTGTGCAAGGTCCTAAGGTCTCTGGTTTGCAGGGTTTGCTCTTGTAGCTGTTGTTATATTTTGTCATCATTCTTTCAGAAATGCAAAAAGAAGTACGTATATTAATGAATAAGGACTAATTTCCTATATAAAACATTACATTTGTTCCAACCATCTTCATCCTGAATACAGGAAGACAATTTAAAAGAGGTGTGGTTGAGACCCATGTAAAATTACTGAGCATTCATGAGAAGTTAAACTACTAGCTCCAACTCCAAAAAGCAAACATACTTCATGCATTGTCATACACCACTGAATGCAAGTCATGTGGTGGATGCTCTGTGAAATTTATTTTTATGCCTGTAATTCATCTGTCAGGAAGCTCTAGATTACTCAGGGTTGGTAGTGCACACTGCTTTTGTACTTGTATCATTTACAGCCGGCTCTTCAGAAACAGCAGCAAATTAGTGACACAAGACATGCCAAGGAGTGCCAAAGTGTGCAGGGCACAGCCTAGGAAGCCTTTAAAGGAACAAGCCCACACATCCTCAGGGGCAAAAGTGAGCATCCAGGGAACAGGAGAAACACTTGTCATGTCAGAGGCCAGACCTCAGCAAACATCATTCCTACAGCAGCAAAGCTGGCTTTAAATGATTCTCAGAAATCACAAAGCAGATGCTGGGGTTGAGCCTGACCTTCAGAGGTAACGTAGTCCTTCCTCCAGCACAGCAGACAACCTGAACCAAAAACTAACAAAACACAACTGCTGAAAAACAGAGTGCTCATGAAATCCTAGGGAGCAAGAGGTTTAATGTAGCTTGGAAACACCACGGAGGGACACGGTCCCGTGTTATTTAGTTTCACCCAGCTACCCCTTGCCTACCTTGTGCTGGACCAGGCCACCCTTCTGCAGAAGCCAAGAGCTGTCAGGGGAGAAGCAGTGCCAGCACAGCCAGTGCTGCCTCCCACCAGAGGGACAGGGAGCTGCTGCTCTCGGGGATGCAACCGCAGATCCCCGGCACCCACTGTGCAGAGAGAGAAGGAAGCAGCACTGTCCCTTCCAGCAGCAACTGATCAAATCTGACACTGAACTATGCTCTTAAAAGAATGGCTTTAACCTCTAAAGAAACAATAATAAGAGAATCTCTCTAAATATGGAGAATATATGCCTAAAAAGGCACTTTCATCTTAGAAGTCAGATGCAGACCAGCCTGATGTAGGCATTTTCAGCATGAACTTTGTACAGCCTCCCAGTGTTTATAACAGCCATCAGAGTTGCATTACTCAAGAGCAGCATTAACCTGTATCAACTATCACCTGATAATCATTACCAAGTAGAATAATTTACTGACTTCCACCCACAAACCAGAAGTATATAAGTACTTAAACATTTTTCATAAAAATCCAGTCCAGACACAAAAGAAACCCCATATTATAGACTACAGAAAATACAACTGAAGCCATCAATTAGCTTCAGTCAGCCAAAGTCCTGCATTTTGAAAAACTCAGTGTCATAAAGGAAGCCAAGAGTTGGAATACAACTCTAAGTAGCAGAACAGATCTTATCCTAATGGAAATTTTGCAATTGCATTATGTGAAGAAGGCTAACCCACCAAAACCAGTGTTACCATGCTTTTCAACTGCAGTTACAGAATGGCCTTCATTCATGTACTTTAAAAATATGTTTGATAAAAGTTTTATTCAACCTATTTTTAAGAACACAAAATAAAACAAGCTTCAACATGCTCACACAAACTTAGAAGTCTTCAGTAATACTTCAAGTATTAAAAAAACCCCAAGCTTCTTGGTATAGCATTTCACTCATACAGAAAGAGAAAACAGTTCCCTGAAGCAGATCGAGTCATTAATACACCACATATAAATCACACCTAAGTAAAAGACCTGCAGTTTAAAATGGCACCATAGGCAAGAAGAAAATGCTGTGTTATACTGAATAGCTGTGCTAAGCCTAACAGACCTAGGCTGAATGCCCTTATATTATACTCTCAACACTGGGAGCTTCAGCAATTACAGCTTAGCATAATCCAGTCCCAAGGAATGAATGGACTTCTCTCCCAATTCCCTTGAGCCCTAACAAGATCATGTCCCCACACACCATTCCCAGCCCGGGATCAAAGAGGGGGACAAGGAATAGGCTGCAGATGACACACCACAGTGACAGTGAGTCTAAGATGCCAGCACAGAGAGGGGATAAGGATGCAGCAGGGATCAGTGCCCAAAATCACAAGAAAACAAGTGTGAGACAAGCCAGCTCCCTGCCAGAGCCACCATGCCCTGGCAGGTTAGTGACTCACCTGGGTTCACATCTGCTCTGCTCACTGGACAGCAGCACTGCACTGTCTCTTCTGCCCTTGGCTCAAACATCTGTACCCTCCTGTCACCCCCAGCTGCAGCTCCAAGCATTGCTCAGAGCTGTGCACAGCACCCAGATGGTCTGTCAGTGGCAGCTGCCCAAAATGCTGCTGACCTCCTGCTGCTGCTCCTAAGCCACAACAGAGCAGGCCCCTACCAGTGGCAATGCCCAGCTCCTGCTGTCTGCCCATGTCCAGAGAGTAAAGCAGCTTCCATACCACCCCTGTCCTAAAGGCAGTGTGAGCTTCTGCCTCTGTGCTTATAGCTGGAGGAAGGTTTTTAATCATTATCTCCCAAGAGTGCTGACAGTACAAAGTCAGGGGTCTTACCCTCCATGGATTGCTTCCATTTGCCAGGAAGTCCATTCTGGACAGTCTGTGTCACAGATTTAGAGGCACTGACTACTACTCTGGAAGCATTAATGAAAAGGCCAGTTTACATCAGACTGGAAACAAGCGATAAAAACAGGAAGTAAAAGCCTGTGAAGCTTCCTAGTAAAACAATGCACATACACTTCAGCAGACTGAAATCTTCCAGTCTTCACAAGTGACTCCTGGATAGCCAGTATACATTACCTGGCAATGACAGCAAAAAAAGCACAGAACATTAAAGCCCATTTTCCCTTTATCTGCTGTAAAACCTTTTGGCACCCTCTCCTGTATCACATACCAGAATATCAGAACCACCTGCATCACTGAGAAACTGAATCCGTGGTATTTCCTTATTGCTACCATTCAAGCATCCCCATGGCAAGCCACCTTGGAATCACTTTCCACCTTCCAAGTCTTCCTCCAAGCCTTCCCACCTGCCATTACTTCCAC